CGAAAGCTGATCTCGAGTCTCACCTTGAAGGCATCGACGAAAAGCTTGAACTCATAATTGGACAAACCCTGCCAGAGTCCGACTCAGATGCACTGGAGCTACGGCAGATAAAAGAAGAGCGGAAAAGCACAGAAAAATGTCTCCAAATCTGTGCCCAATTGTCCGACCACATCAGTCAGGTCCAGCTCTCATTCAAGCGCAGTGGTAACTCTGGACCCGGTCTAGACACTGAAAGAGTGACAAACGATGGCCTGCAGGAATGCAAAAATAACCTTCGTCTTACAATTTCCGAACTGGAGAGGCGCATGCAAGATGTAATGAATCGAATGGTGGCAAAATCCGAGACGACTATGACGTCCGCGGAAGATCATAAGGATATTATCAGGCTGCGAGATGAATGGGAAACGGCTCACAAGTGCATGGATATCTGCTCCAAGGCCAATGATAATCTGAAAGAGAACATGAGCACTATTGACAATTACGCTACTGGCGACGCACTACAGTTCATGGTTTCAAGTACTGGGCAGACCATCAGCGGTAGGAATCGAGGGCTAGGATGGCGGACGAGGCAGGTTGGAGGCCACCTCAGTGACACCACAATCCAGCAGCTATCTCGAGATATGACGAGCATCAACCTTCGAAATGCCGAAAATGCCGGCCCATCTCCAGGGGATGCTTCTTCATTCATTTCTGGTGATACGACAGAGAGCGAAGTTAAAACCGAATTCAAGGAACGGTATGGGCAAGGGTTTACGCTCACGCCCAGGTCTTCTACAGGCACAGTTACGGGGTGATTCCACGAAGGGACGAGAAGGCACGTTTTATGATTAATTGGAGTGACGCTTCTGATGTTATTTTCTATTTCTACCCGTTTTGCATATGGTGTCCTTAAACAGCTTAGGGATGACAATTTATTGCGTTAGACTTGTGAGCGATGAATAATTTCTCTTATTGTAGATCTAATCCTCTAACTGGTTGTTTGATCCAGATCTCAAGAAAAACGCTGTTAACGCCGAGTGAGTCTCCTGAATCTTCAGACCAAAAGAACCAAAGCTTGTTCCAATTCAAGGTATTCGGACCCGCTGGAGTTCAACAAGTCTTATGCTTTGTCAGGTTAAACGGCCAGTCTACCATTGATGAGTACTGTTCTCAATACAGCCATCCTGATCTGGAGCTTGGTAAAGCGGCATGGCAACAGATTGACTATTTTCTTTCAATCACACAACCCTTCTTTACCTTGACAACCTCCCTCTCAAAGACCAAGGAGATCATTATTCATAGTGTTCTTGCAATCTACAACACCCTGTTTAGCCATCTAGAGAAGTCTATGGCACAGCTTGCTTGCGCGGTGGACTAATCTTGCTGAGCGATGCACTGTGGTATAGGAGCCAAATCTTCAGGGTTGGCCCAGCCATTGTAGTTGTTTTGGAGCAACAAGGTACGGTCCTCCCTATAATGATTAATAGTAGCGGTATGGAGCGCTTCTGCAGTATCAATGTTGGTGCCAGAGATAGATGGAGACCTTGGGAGGGAACTACCTCTCGCATCTACCCCGTAAGCCCCAGCCATCAACAGCACAAGATACGTACTAGATATTTTCGTTTTGTTGACGGTGTCAAGGCGCCTTGTGCTTCGAAGTAGTGTGAATGGAACCCGCTGGGGCCTTCTTGATTCAGTTGTGAAATGATACTTTTCCGGTTTGCCTCATTGATTTTCTATCGTACGGCCTAGTTGTAGGCCCTGTGTCCGGCTCCACACCAAAGACTTTGGCGCCCATTGAACTCATTGCTTCTGTATTTAGGCCAAAACCGAAGCCGACGTTAAGAACAGTGTTTCCAGATAGTGGAATGCCCACTTCCTGTAATTGAAATACACACGGTAGCGGAATCAGCTTCTGCCCTACATTCTTTTGAATTGTTTCTAAGCCCCATTACCAAGACATAAGCCAGACATATTACATACTCGTATTGTACTGAGCATTACTAGAGTGGATTATCTTTCTCTTCATCACATTTATCTTGCAAGTTGGAAAGGTCAAGTTTTTGGTAGAGGTCCGTAAGGAAGATTATCGAGCTGCTCCCTTGTCGTAGCTAAATCCACATGAACCTCGCGCTGTAGCAACGGTACTGTAACTTGGTCGCTCGTCTCGCTTGTTACAAAATAGGAGTGATGTTTTAGTTGCCGCCCACATAGGTTGCGACTCATGAGTACTTGAAACTTGCGAGTTTTGAGTACTAATATTAGAAATTTGAGACTTACCTGTTCCTTCGAAAAAAGGTGAGGTTCTTGTCTAGTCATTTCATCAATGGAATTTGCTTCTACATCGCAAGTGTGAAGCAGATAGTTCCCAAATCCAGCGTAACATTTAAGGCGCCCAGCGACTGCCAGTGACTGACTAGATTTAGCGAGTATCTGTGCGATTCCTTTTATCTGAGTTAGTACAAAATATCTATTGGGCGGCAACTTGATCATGATGCATTAGTTTGTGATGAATTGGTGTAGATGCATATCGTCCTTGTCGAGTCGGAGAGTCTAAGCCTCTGGGAATTAGCCTAGATGCGAGCCTTGGATTTCAGCCTTGTACTTTAAACAATCGACCGCTTGAAGATAGCAGTCTCTCTAAAACCCCGCAAAATAACACTACTTATTCGCAAAATGCAAGCAGACACCTTCAGAACTCTCGCGAACATCCGAAGTCAAACCTCTTCATCTATTGTATCCACATTGCTTGACCTTCAAGAGCACGCGACATCTAACGAACGGCCATTGGATTGGATTGAGAAATTGGAGATCATTGGCCCCAGTGCTTCTGACCGAAGCCGTAAACGGCGCTGGGATGATGAAATAGTAGCTAGCAATTCTGGAAAGAAATTGCTCTTGAGAACGCGTGTCAATGCACGCGATCGGAAAGAGAATTATATTGCTCTATCTTATACCTGGCAGCCCTCCTCGAACCAGCCTAGCTCTCATAATGCTTATCTGGTACAATCGCGGGACGGGAGCTTTAAAGGTGTTAGCAAAGTCAGAGATCAGGTGTTTGATAGGGTCGTTGCATATGTCAATTACTGCAGAGCTACAACGACCTCCGTTCGGGGCTTCTGGATCGATCAGGAATGCATTGATCAAGTGAACGAAGCAGAAAAGCAGCGTGCCATACAATCTATGGAGTATGTGTATACCCAGAGTGCCTTCCCAGTCGCGTTGTTGTCGGCACGGATCGAATCGGAGAGTCATTTAAGAGACTTGATATACATCCTCGAGAGAGAGAATCCACCGAGGAACCAGGAAAAAGGCCGGATCCTCAGCGTTCTCAACCTCCTATGTTATATCACATCTGATCCGTGGTGGGAAAGAGGCTGGACATTTCAGGAAGACTATTGCGCGTCAACAAGAATGTGCCTTTTAATTCCTCACTCTTCCTCTCTGAAGGAACTTAAAGCGGAAAAATGTGAATTACTGGGAAATTTGGAGGGAGAGCTTTGCATCACATCAGCCAACTTTCGCTCTCGAGCCACTGAGTTTTGCATTGATTATCGAGAGAACTCACAATTCAAGACCACATGCGACAAAATTTTAGACAGAGCTGGGAAATACAATGTTCAGCTTCTGGAGCCCGATAATGAGGGAAACCCCACGATAAGGCAGTCCATGTCTCCAACAATATTCTCAAATGTCGGAAAGCGAGAGATTACCATTGAGTCGGATCGTCTGGCAGTGATTGCCAACTGTTTAGGCTACTCTGTCCGATTGGATACCCAAAAAGTGGAACAAAAAGGATGCAGCTTGAGCATTGCAATGCTGGCTTTATTCTTACTAAACGGGGAAATCCTCATGAATGGCCCTGATAACTCCCGAGACGCTCTTAGAAGCAAGATTTCTGATTACTTGAAGAGCCAGTCTCTTCGCACGTTTCAGACACCCGATATTGATCAAAAACTTACATTCATCAAACATTGTCGTTTCCCCGTCGTCCAGTTGTCTGAAGAAGGGATTCTAACGTCTGGTCACCTCTGGCGGTTGAACAAAATAGTTGAGGATGCTAGGGCGACACGACCACCACAAAGAGGCCGCGATTACTATTTGAATCGCTACCAAAGAATGCGTTTGACACAGCTCGCTAGACATTTGGATTCAGGGGATTGTGGAAGTTGCTATCAACATATTGCAAGCGCTATCGATGGGTATCTCGATCAAGACAAAATGTGGGGAAATAAAAACATCACATTTTCCAAGTACTATAAGGATCTCATGGCAGAGGAAATTGTCAAGGCAATGGATGATCAGCGCTCACTTCGGCTTCAGCTTGGCTCAATAATCTCTCAAGAAGACCACACAGGTTCTAATCCGTACCGTGGAATTTTTATCAGAGAGGCAGGTCATTCATGGACAAACGAGAAAACGTATGTTTTTACAGCAATATGTCCGGCCGAGAAGAGTACAGACGGCATCGGAAAGCATGTCTCTTTAGAGGTTGACTTAATGAGCTCGCCAAAAAGCGGCCCCAAACGGTTGGTTATCAAACGGTGGATTAATGGGTTGTTCTTTTTTGATAGGTCCAGTCCAGTTACTGATGTTGTGTTTCCATGGCCCAAATCTCTCATGGCTCAATAATGGAATGTTGTTTAGTTGGTATTTGTGTCTTTGTCTCTCAATAGGAATAAATTCGTATACAAATCAATTTGGTTTATTGGGTGTCCAGCGGGTAAAAGACAGAATTACTAGTTGACTTATCTGATGATTCAGATGATGGATCAGATAAAGAGCGAGCATTGACTCCTACGCAGATCACAACCCAGAGCAAGCACACAACGCAAGCAGCCTTATAGTGCTGCTGAGCCTGAAGAGGACAGTGATAATGGCCTGCCACTTCCTCAAATGCCAACTAAAGAGTGCACGCAGGGGCGATCAGGGAGGATTCGGAAGAAGCCAAAGTTGCCAGATGGATTTGAGATTGATAGACTGTAATTATAACAACTGCTCTTTTCTGCAGAAATGCCTTTTTGGCAAAGAATTTCAAAAAAAAAACTGTATTTCACCTGAGAATTAGTCGAACAAAGACATCACTTCTAAATCTATTTCCCCGGAAATCAGCTTATTGTAACTCATTACAAGCTGGATACTCCAAAAATACATCAGAAACTGCATAATCTGCAACTGCTGGCCAGATTACGAGTCTTGGTAGGTTTATTATGTTTATATACCCATGGGTACCCGCAAAAAATCCGCGTGTAGCAAGATGGTAACCATGGCCGCCTGCTTGCGGCCACGGCTGCGGGTGCCCGTGGGGACCTACGGTTATGCCGCAGCCTAATTGGGACAGTGAACATATCAATCAGCCTTCAGCGTATATACGAAAGTCAATAGTTTATGATTATATATGGACCCAATCGCAAGGGAATGTCTATATCATCATCAGGGATAACCTGAAATCATCATTATTATTGTTGTTGTTCTTGTTAAGTTTAGTCCATATCCAGCCTCTAGGCTATGACAGACTGTCCATTCCTGGTCGGGGGTGTCCCGCCCCTAACGTGCTCGCTACCCATTGTTACTCTTCGCCTGTTCCTTGCCCCAATCTAGCCTCCGCGCCCGGGGTGCAGGTGGTCAAGTAATACGGCGCAGAGTAAGCATTGCCGTTATTACTGTTTCAAGCTATAAACCGTCTCTTAACGAATCGTCTCTCAAAGCCGAGATTGTTTACACAGCGTTATATAGGTCCCCACAGCCGATAAGCCCAGTGAAGCTAAACAAGGGGTAAGCAGGTATGACGGATTCCTCATCAACTAGTCAGATGGCGTGCCTCATCTGCTGGCTGCCGGCACTTTCTCCTGCAAAGATTTCCCAAAATTCGTCTCTTCCAACCGCCAGGCACGCAGAGCTTTCCGGATCGGATAAGCCTTCGCCAACGAAAAGTCAAAAACGAAGGGAAAAATGTCGGCACCCTTCAAGGGCCCTATATATGGCAATAATGAACTACCACCAACGGAATCCCACTTAGACCCAGAGGGCCAAAGGGTGACGACGATCCCCGGTAGCGACGATGCTCACCAAATTGTCGCACATCAGGAGCGTCAGAATTTGCTTCGTGGGTTATCGCAACGACATGTACAGATGATTGCTATCGCGGGCGCGATTGTATGTGACACTCCCATATCATTCTCGTGCCATTCACTAAGCGGGCGCATTTTGGGGCGATAGGGAACGGGCCTGTTTCTTGGCCTGGGTGGCTCGATTGCAACAGGTGGTCCGCTTGGTGCCTTACTGGGCTACATGTTCGTAGGTTTGATCGTATGTTGCGTGCAGTATGCGTTAGGAGAGGTATCGGCGCTGATGCCAGTAACCGGTTCATTTGTGCGACACGCCGAGGTACTGGTCGATCCCGCACTGGCTTTCGCAATTGGCTGGAACGTCGTGTATGGCTGTTTCATGAGTGTGCCGAGTGAGATCTCTGCAAGCGTGGTGCTGATCCAGTACTGGACAGACATCAATGCGGCCGTGTGGGTGACGGTCCTGATTGTCCTGTCAGTCATTGTTGCTATCACCTTTATCCGAGTGTACGGTGAAGTGGAATTCGTCTTCGCCCTTCTCAAGATTCTGCTGGTGATCTTCGTTGTCATTCTCGGGCTGGTCATTGATCTCGGAGGTGTGCCGGGCAAACCACGTCTGGGATTCCACTACTGGAGGCACCCCTTCGTCGAGTACATCTCCGACGGCACATGGGGCCGATTCCTCGGGTTCTGGGCCGTGATGACGAACGCTGTCTACTCTTTCGCGGGCGTGGAATCCCTGGCCATGGCAGCGGCTGAAACGGTGAACCCACGTCACAATATCCCTAAAGCCTGTAAGCGGGTGTTCGTGCGCCTGACTATCTTCTACCTCGCCGCAGTCCTCATCGTAGGAATGCTAGTCCCGGCCTCCGACCCGCGACTGAAAAACGAGTCAGGCACGGCAGCCCAGAGCCCCTTCGTTATCGCCGCCGGTGATGCAGGCATTGCAGCAATCCCGTCGATTGTGAATGCAGTTTGCCTAACCTCTGCATGGTCTGCATCCAATCAAAGTATTCTCGCAGGTACGCGAACCCTCTATGGTCTCGCGCTTAAAGGTCACGCTCCAAAGATCTTCCTCCGGACTACCAGCTGGGGCGTGCCATATATGTGTGTCTTGCTGCAGATTGCCTTCTCTTTCCTGGCCTATATGTGTGTCTCGAATAACGCCTTGACGGTGTTTTACTGGCTTCTTGACCTGACCTCAGCGGGTGTCCTGGTCTCATGGATCACGATCACATGGAATCATATTCGCTTGCTGCAGGCGCTCAAAGCACAGGGGGTTCCGACGACTGAGCTCCCATGGCATAATCGCATAACACGTACGTACTTGTCGTCATCAACAGTGGTTTCAAGCCCAAGCTAATCGTGTCTAAAATATTCCTCCTGGTTCGCCTTTGTCTCCTGCATCATACTCCTCCTGACTGGTGGATTTGCTGTCTTTACAGCCGGAAATTGGAACCCGGCCTCATTTGTGTCTTCTTATTTGTACGTGTCAAACCATCCCCTTCGCCATGCATTTCGAAAATAGGGCTAATAGAAACTACAGGGATATCCCGCTGGTTCTATGCGTGTATGGCGTTTACAAAGTAATTCGCCGCACCAGAATCGTTCCTTTGAAGGAAGTTCCAATCCGTCAAGCACTGGAGGAGGCACAGAATGATCTGGAGAATGTGCCTATCAAGAAGCGTCGGGGTTGGAGAAGATTGAATATCCTTTGGGGATGAAAATAAACAATTTAGATGTCTCATGATTGTCTTCAATGCCATGATAAGACATGTATAAAGGGACAATCTGAGCAGAGGCTTTCAAGGAGTGTAAGAGCAGCCGGCATAAAAGCCTCTACCAAGTGCTATTAGAATACATATATATATTGTGTGGGCCAGTTCCCCGCACGGAACTAGCCGAGGATTTCTGTTTCACAACCAGGGATCTGACATAAACTTGCGAGGAACATCATGCCATCAAAATTATTTGGTTTCTCCTGGTTGGCACAAGGATATTGGGACCAACTCACGAGTATCAGGCCAGAGCTTCCGGGTAGTCTGCGGGTGAACCGGCCGTATCGTCGAGCCCGGCTCGCTTGCTTGGAATGCCGACGTCGCAAAGTGGGATACAATGTCGAATTATGTGGCCGTTCCTGCACTAACTGCCTTCTTGATGATAGCACATGCATCACTCGTACAAGGAAAGGAAATATGTCCCCGACATCAAACCATACCACGTTCATCGCAGATGTCATTTCAAGCCGAGATGACTGCCCGTCCGTTGGCCTCGAGTCCAGACAAATAAGAACGAGAGTCGATCTTGTATAGAAGTGAGCATGGTGTTGATGGTGATGACGATGTGTTGATGGTGGGCTTGTTCGATGATCTGGGTGCCACGAGTCTGGAGTCTCCGACAAACTACTCGCAATACTGCGGTGGGCTATTTTACCTCCAACATACTCATTCTGACGCATCAACGAGGACTGACACATAAGATCTTGAAAAGATAATCACGAGAAGTCAAAAAAACCTTATTCCCATTTTCCTATTATCCCTACACACGGCCCTTCGGCTTTCAACGTCTTCAACCGGGCGAGATGGCTTTCTTAAAGTCTCAAAAGAGCACTCATATTCCCACGCAAACTTTGCTCGATAAACTTCTTAAACATCATTTTCTATACGTTTATCCATCTTTGCCAGTTATCAATTAAGGGGAGTTTTGGTCCATTCTTGAGCAAAAGAATAGCAGGATCTCGTCGATCTCTCTACTTGTCGTCCAGGCAATGCTATTTGTCCCGTGCAGTGTGAGTTCCTGTCAAACCCTTTTGTCAGGATTGTCTCGTGCTTTGGGGGTTGGATATGTGCAGTGCTGAACGACGTCGAGCATATTTCATTGAGCGTGGCCAAAGACTGGGCTCATTAGGGAGCCACATCCATCCTCGAGATGCGCACCTCGTTTTACAAGTGAGCCAAGATTTGTCGATATCATTAATTGAGAGTTATTCAAAGTGTGTCTCGCATCGGGGATCTGACAATTAATAGGAACTCTACAATCTTGGTGTAGAAAGTGACCCTGTGTCTGTCTCAGGCTTTGGCGTTACTCTCATGCAAAAGCTCATTGTCTGGCCCTTCGGGAAACTCCACTTGGCTTGCTCTTGATATCCAATATGTGCGTACAGTAAACGTGAATATTTATGATCGCTTGTCAGAGAATGAGAGTTACAAGGAATCAGACCTCAAAAGACTCTGGTCGTGCTTGACCCTTCGCGATAGAATAATCGCACTGCGTATGCGTCGGCCTTTACAGATTTTGCCCAGTCACTTTTATGTGTACTTGGCAAACCACTTACAATTCATGGATTTGGCGGATGAAATATATACGTCCAAAGTTTACAACCCGAAAGCCAAGAGCACGTTCTGTGCTCTACTTTCTTGCCAGTGTAGAGTTGCTGTTGTGCTAACTCCTCTGATCATGATAATACATCCCTCGGACGGAACCAGCTCATCCGAGGGCCTCGTGTCTGTGCTAGCTCAAGCTGAGAATGTCAAACTTTGCTTACAACATTGGCATTCCAAACACTTTCTCATTTCGTCTACGCATGGAGTAGAATCTCACCCGTCAATCACACTTTTCAAACAATTGAACAGGTTATATTATGAGTATGAACGGTTACAACCCCTTCATTCACATCTGAAGCCTGATCGCTCTCGTCCAAAACATTAGGTCTGCTCGCCTCGCTTTGGATCACCACCTCGCCTTGTATCTTTACCGAGGCCGACGACTGCAGAACCCGTCGAACTTGATGGACGCTGTCACATCGATAAATGCTATTTTTAGGCGCTTTACAATCGATGGTACTGCGAGCCGCCTGCCTATCAGTGCCGTGTGCCGTGGCGTTTGGAATTCTATCTCAGATGCTGATGAATTTTGATTTCCGACTTTCACACGGTGGTGGTGGCTGTAAGGGCCGAAACCTTTCGTCGAAGATATATCAGGAGTTAAACACGCTACACCGACTACGCTAAGATACATCTCACATTTTAACTTAGATGAATAAGATGTTCCTCTTGTTCGAAGCCTCCATGTCATCCTATGACTCACGCCATGCGGAGACTGCCGCCGTCAAGAAAAGGCCGAGAAACCAGAGACTTATTTGGATGCTTAACCACCACCCAGGACTATATTTTCAGCTCCTGGAAATTATAAACTCCGTTATCTCTACTGGCAAGTTTACCATTAAAGCGCGCGAAATTACAATAGCATTTCCATCTGCGGCAGCAGCACAGCCTCCGCGTCCCAGGCTGCTACGAGGTGTTCCGGATATGGAGCCATTGAATCAACCAAGTCCACGCCAAAAAGATGCGATGAACACGGAGGCATTCGAGTTAAATGTGGAATGCTTGACTGGTAGTTCGGATGCGTTCTTCTCGTATTTTGATGTTAATAAGCTGGCAGGTTTGGACCAAGCGGGAACCGAACTATTGACGGGAATTTTCTTAACTTTATCATCAGATACACTCGCTAATTTGAGCAATTGCTCACTTCTGTCCGCCCCGGAGTTTAAGCTTCTTTCTTTCCGATGAATTTACCGGAAGAATTTGATGGTGAGAGTGGGCACCTTAGCGAGGGCAATCCGGGCTCGCTGGATGCTCTGTGGCTTGGTTTAGGTCTTCTCGGAGAACAGTTCTTGATGGGAGTCAAACAAAAACGTTCTTGCTCATCTGTTTCACTCTCGCTTTTAATGTACATATACCGTGAGCGTTCTTTGAAACTGATGTCATCAGTGATATTCGTCCATGGCAGGGCAACTTAATCAGATAATCGAAGGCAGTTGGTATTGGCAACCTCTAATGTGATACAGATGATTTCGAAATCAATTTCCATGTCAAAGACTTCGGAATTAATTCCAAGCCCTAAATGCCAAGGAATGCTAAAACGTATATGGCACGCATAAATTCATGATTGAATGGGTGATATGTCATGTATGGTATGAAACAGTCTCGATGAATTTCACTTGTGATGAATGGTACATGGCTTCTGGAACATTCAGTGCAAATCGTCCAAATATCAATAGCGTGTCCAGCAATCTGACTGAAGGCGCCAGTCTCAGTCTCCCGGATTACACATTTAGCGAAGTTTAATTGGAAGAGACACTCAGGTGTGACCATGCCCGCCATCCACTCAAAGCCCATACTTTGGCAGCTGTTCCATGGTAGCTTACTATAGTGAGAAGAATTTGTTACTAATTTACAGTAGACAGGCGAACATTCCAAGGTACTAATAATGAGTCATTCACAGTGGCCGTAATTCATTTTTGTATAATGATAAGCGGCAAATCCAACAACCAATGCCACTTATGACTTCACCACATTCTTTAGATGACTAGAAGGAGGTAGACACGTAGTTTGATAGGATGAAATGCTTTATATACCATGTTTATCCCAGGCCCTCCTTTTAGAAAGAGATTAGAATATAAAGAACGGTGGGAACGGGAATCTTGGGCAATGCTTACAGACAGAACTCAAAAAACGTAACGCGTCCAGATGCATGCCCCATGACAAGAATGCCGTTTCGAGCTACCACATGGGTTGGCCGATAGGTTACAGGTAGCCAGAGGAGTTTCCTACCCTGTATAGCCACCCAACCTTGATCCAAAACATGGATCTCAATTTTGGTAGGATGAAGAGGATTATCATTGACACATGATGGTGGTAAAATCACTATCCCCAAGTTGGTTTCCAGGTATGAACTGTCTTCTGCGAAGCTCAGTCCATATACAGTTCCATGGCCCTCGAAGGTGTGGTGCAGCGCGCCGCTGGCCGGGTCCCAGAGCTTGACTGTGCTGTCATCCGAGGCCGACGCCAGCAGTCGTCCGTCCATTGAGAACGCCACTGATCTGACCCAGCTGGAATGGCCCTCGAGGGTGTGGCGCAGCGCGCCGCTGGCCGGGTCCCAAAGCTTGACTGTGCTGTCGTAAGAGGCCGACGCCAGCAGTCGCCCGTCCATTGAGAATGCCACTGATCTGACCCAGTTGGAATGACCCTCAAGGGTGTGGCGCAGCGCGCCGCTGGCTGGGTCCCAGAGCTTGACTGTGTTGTCGTCCGAGGCCGACGCCAGCAGTCGCCCGTCCATTGAGAACGCCACCGAGTTAACCGAGTTGGAATGGCCCTCGAGGGTCTCCAGTTCCGCACTCCAATATTGTTCGACTTCTGGCGATTTATATATCCAACTGGGGATGTCTGACTTGAATGTTTCTCGTATTATTGATTTAATAGGAGCGAAGATAAGCCCTGAAGAATACAATTGAAGAGGCGCGGTGTCAGCGATATGTCTTGTTTTTAGGATAAACCGCCTTGCATCCTGGAGAAATGCACACAATTGAGAATGTTCATTATCCTTCATGTATTAGCATCGCATTGAATATTCAAAATCAAACACCATTCTATGACTACTTACTGATATGAGTTGCCGCGTAGTGTCAATCATTCCCACTAATTCAGATGCCAACCCGAGGATGCTCATTGCTTCCATCCAGTAAATGAAGTGCTCTTGGAGAAATGAAAAAACATTATCCATCCTTTTCGTGGGGTCTTCGCCTTGTTCTAGATGCTGTACCCAGTAGCGACATGAGTATTGCAGTTCTGGTGGTATAAACTCGTCGATCAAACATTGGTCAATCTCTATCCGTTGTGTACCATCATGTTCCAATTTGCATAGGTTTTTCCTCAAACCTTCGTGCATGACCCTCAGGCATTGAAGTGTGATTTCTGAATGCTTCTTCTTCTCATCAACCCAGCATTCTGTTTTCTCACGTATATTCGCATCAAGAAGGAAGTCTCGAAATGACAGATGAAATAGTCTCACTGGCTTCGTCGCATCATCAGGCACGCTAAGCACTGACTGTAGCGAATTCAGTCTTAGTTCAATCAGATTTTTGCGAACACCAGTTAAACGTGAAATAGAGGCGATTGAAAGTGGTGTTTTGAAAAGGATGATTGCGCCAACAACCTTTTGAAATTCTTCAACCAATCGCTTTTTTTTGTATTCACTCTGTTTGATGAACAGTCGATCAAGTACTGGCATATATGTTCCCTCAAAGTCATTTCCATTTTGATAGGTAAGGATTTCAATAAGCGTTTCCTTTGGGTCCCATTGGGGATCTTCAAGCTGACGACATATAGTTGCAGCGAAGATGAATAATGGCACAGATATCTTAACCAAATTTTGTGTGGTAATTTCTCCAGGCCATTCCAGATTTTGTTCTCGTTTAACCCTGATTTCTGAAAGTTTGTGCTTCAAAAATGTGGAGATATCTTGTTCTATCATTGATTCAGGAATTTCATGGAGGATGAAATCTCGATGCTCACTGTCTTTCATCCCTTTCAAACTCTGATGGATTGATAATTCCGGTCTGCTGGTCAGAAAAATCTTCCAATGCACTGAAGTTAACTTTTGCAATTGTGGCAAGAGCTCAAGGAGGACTTGAATATCTTCCTCCCTGTCACACTCGTCTAATGCGTCAATCACAATCAACATATTTGTGGTATGCTGACTTTGATTCAAGCCAGAAAACGGTTGGAAGAGAAGTTTATTAAACTGTTCTTTGAGTGACTTCGTGGAAATGTCAGGATCATCATCAATGGCATTTGAGACACCACGTGTGAGGTGGGGGATTGCAGTGACAAGTTGTCTTGTGATTGTTGAGAAGAGCCTTTTTGCATTACTACGGTCACCTTCACCTCTTTTGAAGAAAAAGCTTGCTCCTAATTGTCCTTGTTCTTTGAGCATCCTTGCCACTGTTCGGGAGATAGTTGATTTCCCTGTTCCAGCCCTTCCACACAACCAGAACATACATTGGCCTTGCACGGAACTTCCCCATTGCTTGATCTGCTGGAGAATCTCTTCCCTGGTTCCAGGAAGGCATTCAGCGTCATGTTGGTTCTCGTATGAGTCGAATGAAGCGCCTTCGGCATTCCGTAGGTTGGAGTGATCGAGTTTCTGGTGAAGATGTTGAATTGAAGTAATCACCTCATCAATTTGGTCTAGCATGTCTTCTGCACTCTTTTGATGCTGAAGATGCTCATTCCTCTGGACCCAATGGTGTAGGGCTTGCTCATCATTTTTGATGGAAGACTCAATTTGTATGATTGGGTGGTTAGACACTGCAGGAACACTCTCCAGCATCCTTTTTCCTAAATTTGCTTTGTGTTGTTTTGTACTCGCGCTGAAAAGCACAACATACTGGTATAGACCTTAACAAGTGCTTTTTCAATCTTGTCTTTGGTTTCAGATTGATTGTTGCAGTAATGGGTTTTCTCGATGAAGGCGCACCGAGCAAGGACGTCTGCTAAGAACTCAGAGGATTTGAACAGGGCGTCTCGAATATCCATATGGTTCTTTGTCATCTGTGAATTCATTTTTGATCAGCCTTTTCCCTCCTTGACTATTAATTCAGTAGACATACTGTCAATCCAAGTGACACAATTGCCCAAGCACTTGATGCATGGTTGGTAGGGTCAAAAGCTGCAATGGCGCTGATGATGTCCTTGAATGATAATGTAGCATCCAGTATTCTGTGCGCAGTATCTCGGATACTGATGTCTTCCTTGCCAGATCCCCGTGTGATCTTTAAGCCTCCATTTTGGTAGTCCTCATATTGCTGCTCTGTCAATTGGATAACCTCTTCCAATTTTCTCAGTGTTCTTGCGTCCTTCCCGTGATCAACCATTTGACTTGATTGCGAAGAGAGTTGGTCGGCCGATAAAAGTTGTTGGTCCTCATTACTTAGCTTCTCGTAGGCAATCTGCCACAAGTCTTTTGGTCCAGTACCTCTCTTCTGCTCATTTGGCTCGTGTGGTTTGTCTGAATAACTTGCAGGAGCTGATGATTCAGCATGAGCAGAAGAGCTTCTTTTGTATTGATCTGAGTTGAATGAGTATTTGCTGTCTGTGTTTTGAGGCCGGTTGTCTCGATGTTTTATCTTCTCCCATTTTCTTCTGAAGTACAGTCTCATGGTTGACAGCCCGAGGAATTGTGTTCAGCGCCTGGTTTTGACTTTGAAAGTGGTAAATAGATATTAGCTTGACTTGGTTGTAGGAAAGAGAACACTACAGACTTGTTGAGTAACAGTGGATAGGCTGAGCTGGCGGAGCTGAGCTGGCGCGACTGAATGGTGGGTAAACTGACCATCGTCCATGTATACTCGGTACAGAGATTACAAGCTGAGTGACGACCTTTCAAACATTAGAAGCTAGAATATAACATGACAGATCACTTCAGTGATCTGTGACATGGCTTAGAGCATGGCTCCTAATCTCAGTTGGTTAGAATAGTTTCATGAGTTTTGACCAAGTCGTCCCTCGAAACTCGCCATAAGTGGTACTGGGCCGGACCGAGCCGATCGTGTTCGGAGAAACCCATGGAACCTTATAGACCTAAATTGGTGGATGCTCAACGCAAACAATGCAAACACATAAAGCGGAGTCACGACCTGATCAGTCTGGCAGTCTGTTGATAATAGCAAACAGTGAAGCCTGAGGAGTGAATTACCTACCCAGAATGGCACCAAGGTTCGCACTCTCTCAGGTCGAGCTTGTTCGTGATATGATACTAAGTAGGGAGCCAGTAACTACCTCCCAGATTGCTGGAGTTGCTGATTGCAGTGAGTGTTCAGTATCAACATTCGCTTAAAGCTAAGACTGTTTGGTACAGCCAGAGCGGTCCCTGACCATGTTGGACGCCGAAGGAGTATTACTGTGCCGATGCTAAAAGCCCTGTGTGAGCACCTGCTGGAAAAGCCAGACTTATACCTGGACGAGATGGTCATCTTATTATGGGATGAATCCGAGGCAGCTGTAACAACCTCTAGCATCAGAAGAGCTCTTGTTGACAGTGGCTGGTCGAAAAGAATTGCTCGGCAGAAAGCGAAAGAACGCAATGCAGAGCTATGAGATTTCTATCTCTATAATCTATCAGAGTTCCAATCGTATCATCTTGTCTATGTTGACGAGTCAGGATGTGGCAGACAGACAGGCTTTCAGCGGACAGGGTGGTCTCCACTCGGGGTAACACCAGTTCAGATTTCCAAATTCCATCGCGGGCAGTGATATCAGATATTACCTGCCTATGCCCAAGACAGTATTGTTCTTTCCCGTGTCTTCCAGGGTTCAACAGGTGCCCCAGTCTTTGAGGATTTTTTCAAGCAACTACTTGAACACTGCAGGGAGTGGCCGGAGCCAAAATCAGTACTTGTCATGGACAGTGTCTTTCCACCACTCTGAGCAGGTGCAGCAGCTCTGCTTTGATGCAGGGGTGAAATTAGTGCACTTGCCACCATATTCACCAGATTTGAATTCAATCAGAGAGTTTTTTGCTGATCTCAAGGCCCACATAAAACAACCCTGGTGACTATACGAAGAAACTCCAGGTCAAAGGTTCGAGAGGTTCCTTGAATGGTGCATCACTACTGTAGGAGCAAAGAAGGAAAGTGCTGAGGGTCATTTCCGGAACACTGCCTTACTATCAAAGAGCCATAAAATTTTTTATTTTTTTTAATCTGTTACTTGATGCCAATGATCGCTTTTCTGGCTCTGCTATACTGTAATCACTGATTTAGATGCTCCGCGATAATAAAGAAGAGTGAATTACCGTTATAAATTAACCATCAGAAGCTATGGTTAAAAGAGATTAGCTACTCAACGCGGTCCATTAAACCAAATATATTTAAGTGCGTCTTGCAGTTAACATAATGTGCGAATATAGGATAGGAGCACCCAATCAAATGACTATACTAAGTTTTGGAAGAACAAATGACTGTAATATAAGCCAACCCACTTAACTATACGGCCTTGATGGTGACCCTCCAGCATAGACATCGCTTGCATATTGTGTGGCACAGTCAATGATGTCCCCAACAAAGCGCCGGGAAATACCTAATCTCACCCCGTTCTGAATAAAGAAATCAGGGGTTTGATCCTTGTAAACTTGCTCAATGTCGAGGCCATGTGCAATTGCCTCCTCGCATGCCTGTGACAGTTTCGAACAATATAAATTCATTGGTAGACTCTCTGTCGAAATATTAACATGGAGAAGGAAAGAAAGAAGCTGGGCCTGCCAGCGCTGCGCTATCTAGTGTGCGAAGGGGGATCCTGCCCTATATTCAAACAGGCCAAAGTATACAAACATCTTGCGTTGTTGGTGAATGCCCGTACTCTGTGACAATGCCTTTCAGAAATTAGCTTAAACGTCTCATCGATAACATTTTATTCTTGCCATTCGCTGTAAGATCTAACAGCTAAATTTCGAGGCCCTGGGATTTTGGGACAATTTCTTAAATTCACATCTAAAGGTGGAGGCATGAGCGGAGTTGCTGTTGCATCAGCGCACATGGTATGCAAAGACTGCGAGGGCAGAAGGTTGATATTAATAGGCATTGCATTTGTACCAGGGATGTTGGGGCGCTTTTGCGACTATATTCCATTTTTTTGCCGCTCCTCTGCATAAGGTTGTTTACAGATCCAGTTGGGCACATCATCATAACTTTCTATAACACCACCTTCATTCTGAACATACTTTACTAGGCTTGTCAGATGATGTGTCTTGAGACTATAGTGCTGTTTCCCCACTGGGTCCTACCAGCACCACTGGCTCAAACGGCACGGCGGTCCAGGGCAATGCATGAGCCTATAAACATTCTCCCAAACTGAAGGTTGTCTAGACAGATTTTCAGCATCAAGTTGAGCCTCCTGGACAGTGAGCATCCTCTGAGTTCTAGAGCCTGCACCTCTCTTGTTCTTGTTTGTCGATGTAGTAGTATCTGCAGTAGTAGTGCAACTGTCCTCTATGCAATTGAAGGATATAGTAAGCGTTAGCTTCTTTGACATGCGGAACAAGTTTTCCCACTTAAGAAGCTGCTGCTCTACAGCTATCCGCTCAATGTCAGTTTTTTCAAACCATTTGTTGAGGTCGCACTGGGAGCGGTCATTGACTGATACCACAATGGCTGTATCTTCTGATTGGATTTGTCAGTTCTGGTGAGTTTTGGTCCTGATTCGCTCCTTCAGTTTCTGTTTCAAATATTCATCCCAATACGCACTAGGGGCCAGAACCAAGTCCGGCTCTGTATCATTTGCCACCACCTGGTTGTTGATCGTCACCTTCCATTCAATCGAATAGTGGATACATGTAGGTGGATCATCATCATATGATCTTTTTTCCCTCCAATCGGATATTTTAATGAGGCTCAATGTATTGGAGCGAGACTGCTCTACTGGGGAGGAAAACACGCCGCGCACAAATAGGACAGAGGGGGAGCAATCAGCGAAACCAGGAGTAGGAGCATACTGTGGGGCCTGACCACAATAGTTGAATAGCTGTGATTGGAATGCATCATGCGTGTTGGATTCGCCGTTCATTATCCTCCACAGAAAGAGTACTGTCTTGGGCAGCTAACTATTGTGCATAACTGACATCATCAGTATTTTGGAACGACCACCTCATGCTGCAAACTGGTAGCTAGTACTTCTCAATATAGCGAACACGCAACTACCATGGGACAGCAGCCGAGGTGCGGTTAAAGTGGATGACGAGCATAGATATAAAAAGCTTTTTCAAAGATAGGGTAGTTTGTAGATTACTACTTACTGCTAACCCAGCCCTGGATGATGATGATGCAGTTTTCTTGAGGTGTAATTCGAGAAACTGGCGCCTTCAGTCAGACTGCTGGACACGCTATTGATATTTGGACGATTTGCACTGAATGTTACAGAAGCCATGTACCATTCATCACAAGTGAAATTCATCGAGACTGTTTCGTACCATACATGACATATCACCCATTCAATCATGAATTTATACGTGCCATATACGGTTTAGCATTCCTTGGCATTTAGGGCTTGGAATCAATTCCGAAGTCTTTGACATGGAAATTGATTTCGAAATCATCTGTAGCATAACCTCTTCCAAGAGATGCAGCAAAAGCGTCGAGCCTGGACCCGTACAATTGAAAAAGTCAAAAAGTCACACTGGAAACAGTTCCTAGACGGAGCTGGGGAAGGAACACTATGGAAAGCGGCTACCTATATGAAACCGCGAGAGACCTGGGGCTGCGTCCCGGCCTTGCGCGTTGATTCTAACGAACTGGTGGAGAATGAGGACAAAGCACAAGCGTTTCTTGACACTTTCTTCCCCAAAATGGACCAACCCCTCGAAGACCCACCAGTCCAGGCCCCGTTGGAGCTACCCTGGCCACTAATCACGGAACTGGAAATTCAGCGATCTCTTAAAGCAGCCAAAAGCTCCACGGCACCGGGCGAAGACGGTCTACCGACGCTTGTGTGGAAACACCTATGGAGGTATATAGGAAAGCTCATCACCAGAATCTTCACAGCATTAGTTGAACTAGGACACCACCCAAGATGTTGGCGGAGAGCAAAGATCGTGGTGCTGCGGAAACCTGGGAAGCCGGACTACTCGATCCCTGGGGCCTATCGCCCAATTTCACTCCTTAACACACTAGGTAAACTTCTTGAGGCAGTCATGGCTCGACGACTATTGTACCTCGCCGAGAAGCACGGCTTACTACCCGACACACAATTTGGAGGGCGACCGGGCAGGACCACTGAGCAAGCCCTGCTAGTCCTCTCCAACGCGATTGACCAAGCTTGGTATAAACATGGAGTAATGACACTCATCGCGTTCGATCTGAAAGGGGCCTTCAACGGAGTCAACAAAATCAGCCTTGACGCCCGCCTCTGAGCAAAGGGAATCCCAGCCATAGCTAGAAAGTGGATTGCAAGCTTTATGAGTGAACGCTACGCTAGCATAGGATTTGATGACTTCCGTACTGAGGTCGCCCTGCTAGTCAACGCAGGTCTGGCGCAGGGCTCACCCCTCTCACCCATTCTGTTCACATTCTTCAACTCCGACCTGGTCGACCAACCAGTCACCTTTCGTGGTGGCGCATCAGCGTTCATTGATGACTACTTCTGCTGGCGAGTAGGCCGCTCAGCCGAAGAGAACTTAGCCAAAATCCAGTCAGAGGATATTCCTCGCATCGAAGCGTGGGCGCAACAGACTGGCTCCTGCTTCGCAGCTGAGAAGACCGAGCTTATCCATATCACCAGGAGAAGAAGCGAGCAACTACAAGGGCAAGTAGTCATAAACGGGAAAACTGTCAAACCATCACCCACGGCGAAGCTACTGGGTGTGATCTTCGACCATGAGTTGCGGTGGAAAGAGCATATCCAGCAAGCCATCAAACGTGCCACCAAGGTAACCGTTGCTCTGGCTGGACTGCGACATCTACGCCCAGAACAGATGCGACAAATTTACCAAGCGTGCGTCACACCAGTGGTAGACTATGCGTCAACGGTCTGGCATGACCCTCTACGTGATAAAACCCACCTGCGCCACCTAAACACAGTGCAAAGGGCCCCTCTGGTTCGTATCCTGTCGGCGTTCAGGACAGTAGCGTCCGCCACTCTAGAAGTGGAAGCGCATGTCCTTCCAACACACCTCCGCCTCCGCCGCCGAGCACAATATACCATCGCGAGACTCCACACTCTACCTCGTATTCACCCTATTTGGGGTGCGCTCCTCCGAGCTCAGAGACGAAGGAACAACATTGGAAGCTACGCTCGGTTCCCACTAGCGGAAGCTCTAAAGACTATGGACTTACAAAGATTGGATGAACTAGAAACAATCGACCCAAGTCCACTGCCACCGTGGCGAGCTGAACCCTTCGCGGAGATTGAGGTTGGATCGGACCGAGAAACGGCCGTGGAGCGAGCTGAAACTACACGGTCCACATTGGATATTGTTGTCTACTCAGATGCCTCTGGACGCGAGGGTCACCTAGGCGCTGCCGTTGTGGCACTCGACAGCAACTTGGAGACTGTCGAATCCCAACAGATTCAAGTAGGACCAATGGACCGCTGGTCGGTTCATGTAGCGGAGCTTATTGGTATCTTCTACGCTATCAGCACAGTGTTTGAAGTTGCCCATCAGCCCTCAGAAAGCTTAGAAAGGAGACGGAAAACAGCGACAATACTGTGCGACAGCCGATCAGCCTTGCAGGCGACTCAAAATTCGACGAACAAATCTGGACAGCGGATCATCCATGCGATCCCCCAGGCTGCCACAGAGGTCCAAACAAAAGGAATCGCGCTGCGCCTTCAATGGGTGCCAGGGCACTGTGATAACCCTGGAAATGACGCTGCAGATCAACTGGCCAAGGATGCTGCACGCCCAGGCAAAACGCACCCCTTCTGCCCACTACTCTCGAGGGAGAGCGCGCGCCTCCACGGCAATATCCTTAATCAGTGGGAGCAGGAATGGAGGTCATCCAACAAAGGTGGTCACCTACGAAAGATCGACAGCACCCTACCAGCAACTTACACGAGGAGGCTATATGGGAGCCTGCCCAGGAACCGAGCGTACTTATTAACACAGCTACGCACAGGTCACAGTTGGTTATCTACCTACACTAAAGCCTTTCGCTTCCGCGACGACGACCGGTGCGTGTGTGGCGCACAAGAAACTGTCACCCATGTGCTGGTGGATTGTCCAGATCTGAGGGACATTCGAAGAGAGCTACGGAGGGAAGTAGGGGACGCGTTCAGTAGCGTCTCGAGTCTACTGGGAGGCTCGACCGTAGGTAAGAAAGGTAAACCACACACCGTCTCAAGAGCAAAGACGGTCAAGGCCGTTTTGGATTTCGCCGAGGCGTCACAGCGGTTTTGGAATTGCGCGCCACGAGGGCAGCCTAACAATGGGAACGGCAGTTAGGCCACGGCAGGCCTTGACGAGGCACTAAGTTCGTTTTTAGGAAGTGGAACACACTACATGTACGTACGCGCGGATATATATAGTTGAGGTAGCCTGCATATCGCTTTCGAGCGAGGGGTCGGGGTAAATGATATCAACCAACCAACCAACCAACCAATCTGTAGCATAAATTGTGTTACAAGCGGGCCGTCAGCTCAACGCGATCATCTCAGTTTTGAGCATCCTTCCTTTCCAAGTACCCATCTAACAGAGTGGACTACACCCAGAAACAGTGGCCACCCAACGTATGCGCACCGTTCTCAGGAATCCTAACGTGACTTCTCCCCCTGAGCTATATATGATATAAGGAGACAGAAGTTGAAGAATGACTAGTAGATCTAGGTGATAGACCTCTTCTCACTCTAACCGAAAGGAAGGACATTCTCGTATTTCGTTATTATCTGCTGGTTATCAAGCCATGAAAATATGCGCACTTGAGTGGAGCTCAGCCAAGACGGGGTGTGTGCAAGGTTAATCAGCTCTTCGAGGAAAGTGAGGTCCAAACGTCTACATAAGGGAGGCCGGAAATTGCCTGCCCCTATGATTAAATTTCTTCGCATTAAACATTGAATAACAAAGTGATATATTTATTTCGTAATTTCATAAGGCCGTAAGGCCGTAAGGCTATACAGGGAAGAAAACATCCATAAAAGTGCGGCATCATAGACATGGACATCACGCCGTGAGTAGCGCACTGACAGGTAGCCGTGAGACATGTTGTATTGTCTAAAGACAGAAGACTCACAATGGGCAAGATGAATGATGATTTTACAGACTATTCTTTCACTCGGACCAGAGCAACAGATGATGCTCAGGCAAAATAATAGCCTAATTATGCTAAATAGTCTTTTGGGAGTACTATTTGGTCTCGCAAGACCATGCTCACCCACTCATCATCCCAGCACTCACCCTCGACTTCAAAGACATCATCTCAATCACCTGCATCCAACTAGAGCTCACTCGGACATCAACTTTAGAGTGGCAATGAGAAAAGGGCAAAATTGATAGATTGTCGCACTTAATATGTGACTTAAGTACGGCTGAGCGTATGGGAAGCTCTGTTCTCCACGCCCTATGTTCGTATGTTCCAGGTTTTGGATCAACGCAATATTTAGCTGCCTTTGGGGCAAATTAGAGGCACCATTATGACCGACAGCGGAGCCCTTGATAGTTTACCGCAATTGCTGGCCTCCTCGTTGCAGGAACCCCCAAACGAGCTTACTTTTTCCTCGGCCTTTTCACGCGCTGCTCGAGCCCCCGCCATAACCGTAAGTCTATCGGAGTGACACGCTGGCGGCCGTGGAAATGGGTTGTTATAAAACCTTGGGGCTTCCCTCAATTTCAGGGCGAGACCCTTTTTTAGTTGCGCAGCCGAGGTGAGCCATCACCTTGCATCGTGCCAATTACTAGAACCATACGCCCATACTAAATTTGACTAAATCCAACCAATTTTATGCATGCATTCGCCTAAGTGAAGGCTGCTGCGAATTATATAGCTCCATCAGATTTTCAAAAGTACAGTGCCATTCTAGTTACCATCCTTGGCAGTATATAGCTGCAAGAATCCCATCACCTTGTTGACTAGGAATTCGCGCGGCTCAGCCTGGTCGTCGTTGCTCAACGCGTGGGACGCATTTGGGATAATACCACTGTGGTCTTGATCCCAAATTGCCGGTTCCTCCGAGTCCGTCACATTCCTCCACCTTGACAACAGGTTATCCTTATCCACCCAGTCTGGAACAGATTGATCTGCCCCGGAAATCAAAACCGACAATCTCCCCTTCAACAGTCCCTGTCGCCGAATCATCCCGAAGGTCTTCTTCAGCTGCTCATCACTGATATCCGAGCTGAACAGGTCATCTTCTCGAGGCGCCTGGGGAGTCTCAGGACTAACAAGACTCAAAAATCTCCGGCAGCTAATAGCCGTGTTAGACGGATATATAGTGGACGTCAGCTCCAGCGGCAACAAGGTATCAAATCCGGATACTTCATCCCGAGGTGCTGCGTCTCTAGCAAAAGCTTCCATCTTCTGATACACCTCTCGACACTGCTCCGGTGATCTATCCCCAATCCCCCATTTCAAAACCCACTGAATCGCCTCGCGATCTGACACAGGCGCCTGCATGATAGCCCCATCAACAGCCAGTCGCTGCACATGCTCCAGGTCCCGATCAAATCCAGGAACCGAGACGTGCGGATTGTCACGGTACAGATAATGCAACACACACTGGCTCCCCGTCGAGTGGCCCATGAGAACCACCTTCCCAGGCCCGAACTTCTCTGCCTTATACTCCTTGATGTATCGCACACACTGCGCGATCTCATCGGTGTCGCGGTCTAAATGGCCCAGACCCCATGACTGGTACGAGGATGTGAGATTCAGCGTGAACACAGAGTAGTCTGTGGGGTGCAGGGCGCGGACAAGGTCTGCCATGTAGGAGGTCGTGGCGAGGCCGTCGCCTAGCCCGCCAATGAAGAGTAGGCTGTGTGGCTTGTAAGCTGTCGTGGCCGGAGTGTATTCGAAGGTTACAAGAGTCTCTGTCTATATTGCATTTCATCTGTCAGCTGTGTTCGGTAAACTATGAGTTGTTGGGTGGGAGGGGTGGACAGACATAGTGATGTAGGAGGCCGGAGAGGCCGCCCTTGGGCCAGAATTTCGAGTACATCTTCGATGGAAGCAAGATAGTATGGTGCTCGATGTTGTGGATTGAGTGTTCCGGGATATGATCAAGACGAGGTGAAGAAATCAACTGCGCGTTTTCGACCAGGCCTTTTTCCGAGATCGGCTCATCCTATGGATTCTCTGTCAGGTTAAAACCCGAATGATTGATTAGATCCGATTGATAATTTTTATCTAGGCGACTCCAACCAGACCCATGCGCCATTATAGTAATGTCTCAGAATGCGAAAGGCAATATCGGGGTAATATGGAAGCAATATGGGGGAAAAATGGTATCAGTCACGTAATACATTCGACGTTGCAAATACGACAACCTGTACCGCTGTAAAGGTACCGACTTCTGTATTACAGCGTAATACAAAGGGACCGGCAACCCTAAGCGAGGTTCTGGATCAGATTAGATTAACTACACACCAAATCAGGCGTCTTCGTCCGACCTAGACTCCACCTCCATGTTATGGGCTCCGCACAGATAAGATCCCAACCGCGATGACCTGTTAGATCAACACTACGCCATTTTAGAACCGACGGGATCTGCTGAAATAGGATGTACAAAAAACCCTGCATGGACATGTTACTTCGGGTAGGACCGACTGACCGAATATATTGACCTAGCAAGTCTACCCTCTTATTATTACGTGAATTACTTGTTCTCACTGAGATACCAAGGATCTATGCTGTCCATTAAAAACCCACTGGAAGAAGCCTGTCGCTTCAACCCGATTTCGGAATCTCGGGCTCTCGGAATAAACCAGTCCATATTCATCGACTATGGAGTAGTCTCATGCTCCAGCGCTACCATGCATCCGGGAAAAGCCTTAGCCGAGTTAATCTCTCCCGCTGTAGCTGTGGATGAGAATCAACGTTCGCTATTGGATTTGGTGTGCATCTCATATGTCATGTCGTGATAGAATAGTACTTGAGCTCATTTGTACAAGGTGGATATCTTTATGTGCCAAGAAATCTTATCAGTGATGTATTCTATTTCTTGACAAGTATGTGCATACAGTGGTGTCAGTATACCCAAATTATCTACTCTTCGTTTCCTTGTATAGTACATTCGCTTACGTATGAGAGGCTATAGAGAATTAACCAGACCTTGTAATCAATACAACAATCCTTCCATTGAGTCCGTATACCAACTATTGATTGCACAAGTAAATTACAACTTCGCATCCCAAGCCATCCGATCCGCACTCTCCAACGGCCGATTGCGCCCATCCCAGAACATCGGACACAGCTGGAACCACTTTTCCCGGCTGCAAAACACATGTACAGAGCGTTTGTGCCCCAGATCCACGTATTTCTCGACGCTCAGGCCTTGCGCGTTCTCGTACGACAGCACCGTCGTGTTCGTTGCCTTCGGCTCGCCCACCACGCACATTGTGCGCGGCTCGTCGAGGAATATGTAATGGATAACGCTCGACCACCATGCATTCACGCGGTATGCGCCTCTGATTGACTCTTCGCCGACAAGCGAGTGTCGGCCTCTATCGTAGTCACCTGCGTCGTAATGCGCGCCGTAGTGGTCTTCCTGTCCAAGGCTTAGAGGAATATCCATTGGGGAAATTCATAGAAAGAACATACCTTCGCCCAGTACACCTCAAAATACGCAAACTTAAACTCGCCAAAGCGCCCAAACAAACACAGAACATGCTTGTCCTCATGCAACCGGCGCAAATAATCACGGTGTTCTTCCAACGTCCCAGTCTCATTCCACCCCTTCGCAACCCGCGGGTCATTCTGCCACTTATTAAACAGCTGCAGATGCTCCTCATTTTTCCAGTCCACAACCATCAGCGAGAAATGCTGATCCAGATGCGGAATATACCGGCTGTATACCAGCGAGCCCGGCGCAGGCTTGACCGGCCGGATTGGATGGCGCGCATACACGCGTTCGTGCGGGAACTTCATCGTAAACTCGTAGTTCTGAGCCATCGGCGGATAAGAGCTGTCTGAATGCCGGAGTAGGCCATGGGTATCCTGCCCGACGGCCCAGATGGGCCGTGGGCCCAGCGGCGAGCCGGCGCCCTGCCAGAAGGCGGAACGGAGAAGGATGATGGTGTCGAGGCCTGAGGGCTCGCTTTCGCTGCCGAAGGGGGCTCGTGGGGATGGGAAGGGAACTGCGAGGCCGGTGCGTAGGCATTCCTCGCGGATCACCTCATGGCCGGAGCCTGTTAGATCTAGCCGGATTACCGCGTGCTGTGGGTGGGCGAGGAAGGTGGCATGGATCACGTTCCAGATTTGCGCCAGGCTAGGGAGTTCATTCTCTGTCCAGCGGACTGTGGTGCCGGGGGCACGTCGACTGCGTGCATGTGGGCTGTTGTCGTTGTTTGGGATGGTTGCGGCGGATTCGTCCCAGGAGAGGTCAGTGTAGCGGAGTGAGTCGTTATGTAGCGGTTCTGGAAGGGGTTTCCCGGCCTCCGAGTTATACAATTGGAGTTGAAGCACCCGGGGGGCAGACTCTGAAAGGACATTGATGGCATATGTAGTAAGGTAGGGATGGGGGAGTTTTACCCAAGGATATGTTGGCTTGTTCTGGGCAGGAGGCTCTGCAGTCGTCTTGTCCATGTTCATGGTGTTTGATGGGTATTGTGTATTATGGTTGGCAATTGGAATAAGAAAGAATTTCTCTGCTATAATACGAGGGCATGAGCTGAATATATGGTAAAAAGACTAGTGGCGAGATATAGAGACACCGGAGCCGAGGAAGGACGAGCTAAAGAGTGGAGTATTACAATAATACTATCAATATCCGACGAATTTTGAGATGGTATACAATGTATGTCTTGTATTTAAGCCTTCACATAGCACCTAGTTTCCTATTCAACTCCCCACACCATTTTCTTGCTATCATTACACTACCATGCCAGCCACTTTGCCGCATCCACCCGTTCAGGGATGTTTAGTTACTTTTCCAACTCCGCAGATACTGCTTCTTACTCTAAACCAACCAAAAAAGCGTAATTGTATCTCACTGAGTACGAGCGCGGAGATACAACGACTATGGGAATGGTTCGATAGCGAGCCAAATCTACAGGTGGCCATTATCACTGGCACTGGGGAATCCTTCTGCTCCGGCGCGGATATAAAAGGTTGTGATGCAATCATCTCCGATACAATAATTCCTATTTCACTATCTAACATCAGACAGAATGGAATCAGCTCAACGAACGAGGCATAACAAATGAGATGACAGCACCAGGTCTGGCGGGCCTTCCGCGCCGTCGAGGCACAAAACCCATCATAGCGGCTGTGAACGGATATTGTCTCGGGGGCGGATTCGAGATGGTAGTCAACTGCGATTTAGTCTTCGCCAGCGAACAAGCGATCTTCGGACTGCCCGAAGTCCGACGCGGAGTCGCAGCAGTAGCTGGCTCTCTGCCTCGGTTAATCCGCGTTCTAGGCAAGCAACGAGCGGCCGAGATGGCACTTAGTGGTAATACCATTTCGGCATCCCAGCTCGAGCGCTGGGGACTGGTAAACCGTGTGGTGGAAGCAAGCCGGCTGCTGGATTCTGTGGTGGAGATTGCCAGCGCCATCGCAAGCAATAGTCCCGACAGTCTCCGGGTTACGATGGAGGGGCTTCACATGGGCTGGGAGAGAGCCAATGTCGAAGATGGTAGTACAGCTCTGGTGGATGACTGGTATGGGAAGCTCATTGCTGGACCTAATTTCCACGAGGGCATGAGGGCGTTTGTGGAGAAGCGAAAGCCACGCTGGCGGCCCTGCAGCTTGTGATTATCCCCGATAGGATAATACAACCGATAAATATATTGGCTTGGTATGAAAAACTAAGTCATGGTATTAGGTGACCCATAAAAGTAGCCGTGTAGGTTCTCGTATACCATCATGTAAATTTTCCCATGAAAAATCTGATTGCATTTGGTACTGGGATTTTAGGGCCGAACTCCTGTCCCATAGGGCGGGCGGAACGCTGTAATAACAATACCAAATCCCGAGCAGCAATTGTATGATTAACGTGTCCGAGGTGCAAATTTTCAACAAAATTACATTACACTTCTGATATATATCATACGGCAACCGATACAAGATTTTCCATTACCGTATAGCAACAAGGGATACGGACATACGACTAGACATTGTCGTCGGACATAGGTCCAAGTATAGAACTCATGCGTAGGGGAATTACTGCGCCTTGGCCCACTGTATGCTCCTGCAATGGCGATTTCGGACCGAAAGGACGGTGCCTATGACTTTATTTTTCCTGCGCGAGTAGCCTTAGACATACCGAGGTCCATTTGACTATACTTCATCGTTCAACTGTCGTGCAACCCATCGGATTCTGCTACTGAGTATCTCGTTAAGACCGTCTCCTTCTACTTAGGATGACAGGCGAAAACATCATGGACTCCATGAAGACCAACGACTTGCTGTCGAACGACAATACCGATGACAGCAACTTCCGCTATTTTAACGTCGCCGACCTCGTGGCTGATGCAATCGCGATACCGACTGGCATGGAGGAGATTATACTCTTGTCATGGCTGGTTGTACTCTTGCGCACACGCGAAGATAGCCAGATATGCTTTGAGTGGACTCACAAGGACCGTGTGGATGAATCAGCCATCAGGTCTCTGTCCATGGGGGAGGTGATGTCAGGTGGACTGGAGAATACTCTTGGACAGACAGCTGAGGCTATTTCTCAATATGTCGCGACAAGCTCACCGGGCGAGCGTTCCATATCCAAGCCTGCTAGCCTCCTATTGAGCACCGGCGCCCTCTCTAGTTCCCCCGATCAAGTCAAGGACAATGTAAGTGGTTCACGGTCCACTGGCCCGGATCAGGCCAACCGGCTAATTGCAATAATAAGGATACAATCCACCTCGAAATACTATTCCACAACAACGACCTGAAAATCCGGCCCGTCTGGTTCTCCGGCAACATACTTCCGTTTACAGTAACATCGCACATCGAAGTCTTAGTCCACACCGTTCGAATGTGCCTTGCGAACTCTAAGGCGTCCATCGCAGAGTGCATGCAACCTACGACCTACGATCTCGATGAGATCTGGCGCTGGAATCAAACCCTCCCTCCCTCGTATAATTTCTGTATGCACGACATGATCGCCGAGCGCTCTCAGAGAGCCCCAAACAAAGTGGCCATCTGCTCCTGGGATGGCGAATTGACCTACGCCGAGGTCGACCAGTACTCGACGCGAGTCGCGTCCACACTCCAACAGGAGATGGGCGTGCAATTTCATGATATCATTCCTGTGTGCTTTGAAAAGTCCCGATGGACAATCGTCGCAGTGCTGGCAGTCATGAAAGCAGGGGCGACCTTTGCGATGATGGACCCCACGCTGCCACTGGCCCGTTTGCAGAACATGGCAACGCAGGTTGGAGCCAAGACGATGGTGACCTCTCGACTGCAGCACGACCTGTCCATGGAGATTATGCCGAGTGGAAACCGTATCGTCGTCGAGTCCGACACATTCCACGCCCTGCCTCAGGTCGTCTCGGAACTACCAGCCATATCACCCTCCACGCTTATGTACATAATCTTCACTTCGGGCAGTACCGGTACTCCGAAGGGAGTGACCGTATCTCATAGGACGTATACGAGTAGTGCCATTCCGCGCGCACAGGCAGTGGGATACAGCGAGACCTTCCGGGTTCTAGATTTTGCATCCTACGCGTTTGACGTTAGCATTGATAGCATGCTGCTGACTCTTGGAAACGGCGGGTGTCTCTGTATCCCATCGGACGAGGATCGTCTGAATGATATCAACGAGGTCATTCGAAAATTGCAGGTAAACTATGCTGGGATAACCCCCTCTGTGGCTCGCATTCTAGAGTCAGACGTCATTGCATCGCTCAGTGGTGGCCTCGGGCTTGGAGGAGAAGCTGCCTCGGCGAGAGATGTCACGCTTTGGGGCCAGGACGCGAGGATTATCATCGGGTATGGTCCATGTGAATGCACGATTGGGTGTACTGTCAACAGCAGCGCGGCCACGGGGAGAGACTATATCTCTATTGGACCGGGTAATGGAGCTGCGATATGGGTTGTCAATCCCAATGATCACAATTCTCTTGTTCCTGTCGGTGCGGTAGGCGAGCTGCTGGTCGAGGGCCCAATCGTCGGCCAGGGTTATCTCAACGATCCCGATAAAACCGCTGAATCGTTCATTGAAAATCCCCCTTGGCTCGTGGCGGGCCACAAAAGTCATGTTGGTCGACGAGGTCGTCTCTACAAGACCGGAGATCTGGGAAAATATGATCCCGACGGGTGCGGAGGCATCATCTTCGCGGGACGGAAAGATACGCAAGTCAAATTACGGGGACAACGCATTGAGCTCGGTGAGATCGAGAGCCAACTTAGAGATAGGTTACCGTCAAATACCACTGTCATTGTCGAGGTGATCAAGGCACACGGACAGCCAACATTAGTGGCTTTTGTCGCTGCCCAGTCCGGGCAGACCAATGATTTCCAATCGGTTGATCTCCCTGATGAGCTGCGAATGACGCTGTCCACAGCCGATGCAGACTTAGCCAAAGTTCTGCCCCGGTATATGGTGCCCACCGCATATATACCGATTAATCACATCCCAGTTCTGATCTCAGGCAAGACAGATCGCAAACGCCTGCGCGAGTTCGGTGCCACCGTCGACCTGCGACAGCTAGACCAGAACACCAGCACCAACAGGGAACTGACTGAGGTTGAGCAGCGCTTGCGGGAGGCTTGGGCTCAGACATTGAAACTCGACCCTGCAACCATTCGGCTGGAAGACAACTTCTTCGCCCTCGGGGGTGACTCTTTATGGGCGATGCGACTGGTGCCTGTATGCAGAACACACGGCCTCGACCTCTCAGTAACCAGCATATTCGGCCACCCCACACTCTCCGCCATGGCTGGTATTGTCCAGATCTGCGATGTGCAGGTCCAGGTGGAAACTCCTCCATTTTCAATGATCTCCACAGATGCGGACAGCGCCTGCCTCGTGGTATCACAGATGTGTGGAATAGATCCGGCCGCGGTCGAAGATATATACCCGTGCACACCTACACAAGAGTCCCTTTTTACATTTTCTATCAAGTCGACCAAGGCATATATAGCCCAACGAGTGGCATCTATTCCGACACATACCAACTTGGATGACTTGAAAAGGGCTTGGGAGCAGGTGGTTACAACGAGTCCCATCTTGCGCACTCGGCTAGCGCAGCTCCAAGAACCTGGCCTCCAGCAGGTAGTGTTGAAAACAAACATCTCGTGGAGACATTCGACGGACCTGGAGCAGTACCTCAAGGATGATCGGGAGGAGAAAATGCAGCTAGGAGAGGATCTCGCTCGGTACGCTATCGTTGATCACCCAAATGAAGAGAAGCGGTACATGGTCTGGACAGTTCACCACGTCCTCTACGATGGATGGTCCGAGCCGCTTATCTTGAAGCAAGTGAGCGATGCCCTGCAGGATGAAGGCATTGACACACGGATACAGGCACAGATCAGGAACTTTGTCAAGTATGTACGGGAGACCGATGAAATCGCCACGCAGGAATACTGGAGACGAGAGCTAAACGGGGCAGTCGGGCCTCAGTTCCCGCGTCTGCCTTTTCGAGACTTCTTGCCCAATCCGGATGCCATGGTGGAGCGTCAAATACCGCTAGAAACCAGTGCCAAGTGGCCATTTACGATGGCCACTTTGATCCGTGGCGCCTGGGCGCTACTGGCGTCAAGGTACTCGGGTAGCAACGACGTCGTCTTTGGTGAAACGCTCACGGGTCGGGACATTCCGTTGGCGGGAGTCGAAGACATCGTCGGTCCATTGATCGCCACGGTCCCTGTTCGTATACAGGTCCCCCGCTTAGCTTCAATTGAATCCTATCTACAGACTGTGCAGCAAGGCCTGCTAGCCCGTACGCCCTATCAGCACATGGGAATGCAGAACATCCGAAAAGTCAGCGAAGACGCTCAGCATGCCTGCGAAGCCACCACTGGTTTGGTCATCCAACCCGAACCGGAATACATCGGTGACGAGCTGGGCTTTAAACACGGCGATGCCGTGCGTGAGGCTCTCCATTTTAACCCGTATCCACTGATGCTTGCCTGTGGGATACGGAAAGGCGGCTTCAGAATATGTGCCAGCTTTGATAGCGGGCTTATCGAGGTCGCGCAAATGGAACGGGTCCTTGCGCAGTTCGAAATGGTCTGTCTCGAGTTGACGAAGGGTCTCTCCTGGAGGCTAGACGAGTTATCTTGTCTTCCCGAGGCGGAGCTAGAGCAGATATGGCGCTGGAATCAGACTCCACCGTTGTCCTTGGACGAGTCTACGGGAACGCTCCGAGCTGATGCGGGCACCCAGCCGAGATCAACTTATCCTCCTGCGGTGGTTCCTTGGGTATGTGACCCACGCAATCCGTCGCTACTTTCGCCTATTGGGTGCGCTGGTGAGCTTTGGCTGGAAGGGTGTTTCCTGCAAGGTGAAGTCATTGAATCACCCACCTGGCTGGTCGCAGGGAGCTCTATATGCTCCGGTCGAGCGGGTAAGGTGCAACGTACTGGTGACCTGGTCCAGTTACGAGATGATGGCAGTCTAGTATTTATTGGTCGAGAGGAGAACATCGTGCGGCTACAAGGTCACGCCGTAAATATTGCGGATATTGAGTCTCATTTTGAAAGATATCTCCCACCCACGGTTCACGCTGCAGTGACAGTAATCCAGGAATCGTCAGAGCTTATTGTCTTGATCGAGCAACAATCTTCCCAAGAAGAATACGTTCAGTTGGTATCAACGAAGCATGAAAGCTTTGCACCAATTTGCCCCGCAATTTCAAACAGTCTTGCGACAGCATTGAAAAGATTCGACAAGTTTATCCGTGACTCTCTTCCATCGTACATGGCCCCTTCAGCGTATGTGCCCGTCGAGAAGATGCCCACCGAGAAGGGACAAATCGATCGTGGTCTGCTCAACCAGCTTACCTCTGGAATTCCTCGACCCCTACTCAACGAGCTGAAACAGGGTTTAAACATGGCATGGTCACAGGGCTCCACGCAAACAAACCTGACAGCCTCAGAAACGATCTTACAATCTGCCTGGGCTAAGATACTGCGAGTCCGCCCCGAGGAAATCGATGTCGACGACAACTTCTTCCGCCGAGGCGGCGACTCCGTCCTAGCTATGAAACTCGTATCCAGCCTTCGTGCAGAGGGCCATACCCTGACTGTGGCTGATATATTTCAGCACATGCGGCTCGGTGACGCTGCTAAACGGTTGAAGGTTGGCGGGGCCTCGGTCCAGGTCCAACCGTACAAAGCATTCTCAACGTTGGGCGATTTAGACGTCGAACAATTCATCACCGAGACTATTCGACCCAATCTTGCCGGTCAGGGCTGGTCAGTTCGGGATGTTTATCCTGTCACTGATTCGCAGGCTCTCGACATCCGCGCTACTGTCCAAGCTCCCAGGACTTCCTTCCAGTATACTATGCTGTACTTCGACCAGAACATTGATCAAGGGCGTCTCACCCGCGCTTGCACCCAGTTAATTAAGACCCACGACATACTGCGCACTGTCTTCATTGAACACGAGTCGATCTTCTTCCAGGTTGTCCTGGATGATCTGGAAAGCGTAGTTACCACCCAACAGGCTACCGGTAACCTCCAACAATACGTTAGCGATCTCTGTAATGAGAACATTGAGTCACCGTTCCCTCTCGGATCACCATTCCTGAAAGTATTCCACGTCCAGGGCAACGACAACCAAAGCTGTCTCGTCATCGGCCTCTCCCACGCACAATATGACGGTATGTCCCTGCCCCGGCTCCTTCGGGACCTGGAGACATTGTACACAGGAAAAGACGTAACCGAATTTGCGCCCTTCTCCTCCTACATGTCACGCATCCACGACAGCCGCATACAAGCCGAGGCGATCAAATACTGGCGCAACATCATGGTCGGGTCATCACTGTCCGTCCTACCGGGACAACCTACACAGATCAGCGATACATCAATCTTCCATACCAACCCAGTCTCCATCTCCCAGGCCCCTGCCGATATCACAACAGCAACCCTTCTAACAAGCGCATGGGCCCTGGTCCTCGCCCGACGACTGCAGACAGCAGACGTGACCTTCGGCGGCGTGACAATGGGCCGACACATCGATCTAACTAATGTCGAGAATGTCATGGGTCCATGCTACCAATTAACACCTATCCGAGTGGTATTCAATGCTGACTGGACGCCTCGCGACTTACTGCGCTTCGTCCAGCGGCAAAGCGCCGAGTCAGCGGCCTACGACTTCCTTGGCTTCGAAGTAATCCGCAAGCACTGCTCGGAGTGGCCGTCCGAGGCAAAGTTCTTGGATTCCATTGTGCATCATCAAGATTGGGAGGATTTTGATGCCATGGATTTTGCTGGGGGTAGTTGTCGGGTGGATGTTCGAAACCCGCATGGAGATGCGGCGTGGCCGATGAAGGTTGTCTCATTTGTTAAGGGTGGACAGCTACATGTTGGTATCGTGGGGAGCGAGGTTGAGTTTGTGGATGGGGTTCTTGGGGAATTGGTTGAGGCTGTAGAGGAATTGGCGGGTTCGGAGGAGCTTTTAAAAGTATAATAATGTTTTATATTGAACATAATTAGGGCTAGTTTCACCTATCGACCAGTATGAAAAGAACTATTCTAACAATCCATCTCCTTCTAACGTATTAAGTAGCAACAGTTTGATGCATAACATTAGCCCGATAACTCTCTGACCGCTCTAACAGCTCCTCATGCGTTCCCTTGCCTACACAAACACCTCCCTCAATCAAGAATATCACATCCGCCCTCCGAATCGTATGCAACCGATGCGCAATTGCAATCAACGTAATCCCCCTGGCTGCCCTCGCCAGCCCAATCTGCAACAACCTCTCCGACTCTGCATCCAACGCACTCGTCGACTCGTCCAAAATCAACAACTTCGGCCTCCGCACAAGCGCTCGCGCAATCGACAACCGCTGCTTCTGTCCGCCAGAGAACTGGCTCCCCTCGGTCCCGCAGAGCGTCTCGTATCCGTTCGGCAACGCTGCGATGACATCGTGGATGTTTGCCAGTTTGCATGCGTCGATGATTTCGTCCATGTTTGCTTCGTGGCCTGGGCGTGCGCCTAGGCCGATGTTAAAGGCGACGCTGCCTTCGAAGAGGACGCTTTCCTGTGGGACTAGCGAGATGGTGTCGCGGAAGGAGACGCCGCAGTCTGTTCCGGTGATGTCGATGCCATCGATTATGATGGAGCCGGAGTGTGGCTTATAGAGGCGTTCGACAAGGGAGATGATTGTTGATTTACCCGCACCGCTGGGGCCGACGAGGGCGCAGAATTTGCCCGGGCGGATATCGATTGTCAAGCCGTTTAGGACATTGACTTCGGGACGTGCGGGATAGGCGAAGTGCACGTTGTGCAACTGGACACTTGAGGCTGAAGGGGATAAATCCAATGGTCTCGGAGGGGTGGTGCCCTGCTCGGGGTCATGGGATGCCTTCTCATCTAGCGATCCAGTAGGGGCCGGAACGTGACCTTGCATCTTGTCTGAGCCGATCTCGATCAGACTCAGGATGCGGGCCATAGCTGCCCGCGCGCTGGACAGTTCAGGAGCGAGCGCAAACATCTGACTCCATAGCAAAGCGCTGACCAGAAGCGAGAAGACCACGATCAGGAACTGTGTCTGCGTGTACGTGCGCGCGATGATCTGCTTCGCACCCCACCAATACGCTAGCGCGTTGACCAGATTACCCAGAAAGTAAGTCATGGCCTGCCAGAGGCTGGCCTGCATAGTCACATTGAGTGTCTCCTTGCGTGGACCCTTTAGGGATCGTCGGTAGGTAATCAATGTGTCTTGTTCGAGTGACAGCGACGCAATAGTCTTGATTGATGTAATGGCTTCCACACCAATATCTACGGACTTGGTATACGCATTCTCGTGTCGGTCTTCGAACCGGCCCAGGACGCGCAGTTCCATCAGGCCCGCGCCTAGGAGTAGCGGGACCAAAGCAAGACACACCAATGCGATTTTCCATGCGATGATGTGAGTGAGGATGATAGCAGCGATAAGATTGACAGTAATAGAGAACACGGTGCCGATGACCGAGCCGCTTAGTCCTGCCAACGCGTTGCCGTCGCGCGTGATGTACGAGAGAAGCAAAGCGGGCGTCCGGCCCTTGGACTGGTGCCATTGGAGATCCTGCTCGAACAAAGACCGGAACGAGAGCACTCGGACCGTGCAGACAATGCGCTCCGACACCCAACCGAACCCAGTCCAGCTGACCACATTCGCGAAGAATTCGATAATGGCCAGGACGAAGAACATCAAGCCGTAGAATTCTCCTCTCGATCGGATACTGTCCGCGCTCTTGCACGGGTTCAGGCTGCCGACAGTGTTGCCGAAGATCACAGCTTCGCCTGAAAACGCACCGCCGACGATACTGGCTCCCAGAAGGGCCAGGAAAATAATTAGCAGATGGGGCCGTAAAGTGGGCGCATATCCTCGTACCAGAGCCCAAAGAGATTTGGGCGGGACTTCTGGCTCTGCTTCTTCCTCTCCGGCTTCGTCCGTGTCATTGACCGGTGTCTCATTGGCCGAGAAGTTGATTTTCTCTGTCTTTTCGGGGTCGGCGTTCGCTAGGCTAGCGTTCTCGGTATCATCTGTGGTAGAAGCTTGGTCCGACTTGCTAACGCTGTCAACGCTAACGGTTGTATCGTTCTTTGCAGACGCCGATCCCAACGTCTGTAAGTTGACAAGCTCGGCGTATGAGCCATCCTTAGCCATGAGAGTAGCATGGTCTCCCTGCTCCACGATATGACCCTTGTGCATGACAATGATGTTATCCGCATTAGTGATGGTAGACAGACGGTGCGCGATAGTGATCATGGTCCTCCCACTGGCAATGCCTGAGATGGCCTTTTGAATACGCTGCTCGCTCCGAGAGTCCAGTGATGCTGTGGCTTCATCCAAGATGAGGACCGCTGGGTCCTTGACCAAGGCTCTGGCGAGGGATACACGCTGCTTCTGACCACCGCTGATTAGCCGGCCACTCGAGCCCACGACTGTTCCGTATCCTTGTCGCAGAGTAGTGATGAAAGCATCCGCGTCAGCCAGGGTTGCAGCCTTTCTGACCAAACTCACAATCTCGACCACACTTGTGCCTCGCTTCTCGGCTGCGGTCATCAGGTCCGCACCCTCGCGGACTTCACTGGCAAGGTCGGCCAGATTGGTGCTGAGAAGAGTGCTTTTAAAGGACGCGTGGTCTGGATTACTCGAGTTCATCAGTCCGTGTGCGATATTCTCCAATAGTGATCGGTCGAGCAAGGACGGCTCCTGTTGCACCAAACTGAGGAATCCCCTCAAATCTCGGGTGTTTAAGTCGCGCAGGTTATGACCGTCGAAGAGGATCCGGCCACTGGTCGGATCATACAATCGAGTGACAAGACCGGCAATGGTGGACTTGCCACTGCCCGAAAGTCCCACAACCGCAGTATGTTTGTTGGCAGGAATGGAAAGACTGATCTGGTCCAGCACGGTGATTTCAGGCCGAGAAGGATAGTTAAATGATACATTCTCGAACTCGAATCCCCCTGACGCCTGGGTGAGACGAAGACCCAAGTCCGTCGTGCCGTCGATCAGAGGCTCACGGTCGATATCGGTGCGTAGCTTGCGGAATGAGGCGATGGCAGCGACGAATAGGTGGAGGAAGGGGGCGACTTGGCTCAAGAGGAGGGTAGCTGTCGTCATGTTAGCACTATCCTTCGCGCTGGCTTGGCGTCAATATCACCTTCAATCAGGATAAAGATCACAGTAAACGTAGATCCCACGGTGGTCCCACCCGACTCTGACTGCACAGATTTGGCAACCTGTCTACTGCCCTGCCAGAAAGCCAGACCGTTCGCGGAGTATGCGACGAAATACAAAACGCCCGATTGAATACCCACAGCCGTAGATTTCTTCAAGCCTTCTTGTTCTGAATCCTTAAGTGCCTTGGAGAACTTGCCCTCCAGTCGCCCGTTGGCGCCAAAAGCATGCACCACGACCAGGTTGGACAAGGCTTCCGAGGCAATAGAGGCAGCCGAGGCCGCATAGTCCGACATGCGCGCAGAATACTTTTCAATATAATGGCTTCCCACAAACGACATGAGGAAATAGGCGGGAATCAACGAGAGAAGCATAGCGGCGAGGGTATAGTCCTTGATGAAAGCGACGATGTATGCGGTGACGAAAAACGAGAGACTTGACAGACAAATTCCGACTTTCTCGGAGGTCCCCGAGCGGATGGCCTGGATGTCACCATTGAGCCTAGACGCGACTTCTCCAGGGGGCAGTTTGTCGAAGTACGATGGTTCCTGGCGGATGAGATTCTTCAAGTAACTTTCTCGCAGTCTCTGCGCCAGTCGAGCGCCCGTCAAACTCCAGCAGGTCAGATGAAGATAGATAACCACGAATTGCGCAATCGCAAGATACACAATGAGCAGAATCTTGCCATTAATACTGTTCTGCTCCTCGGCGTCCGAACTCGATGATGTAGACGCAGCACAGGTGGCATCGTTAAAGTCGTCCAGGAGCTGACCGAAGACGATACCAATCAGAGGAAATGGGACGCCGGAGGCAATTGCACAGACGATTCCCATCAATAACATGCACCGGTCTTTCTTGGAAGGTTTGCCGGCCAGCAACATGCTGGGGTAGTCGCTTAGCTTTGCGAGGAACTTCATGGTGACAGTTCTTCTGCACAGCTGTCGGTCATGTGCAGGTTGGATTGAGCTGGCCGTCGTTGGAAGTAACTTGTCCAGGTCAAGGAGAGCTCATTCTATCGACAAGACAAATAAATTTTCTCGGATGCGGTGTCTCCGAATGCGCACGAGGAAAAGTGGTCTGGTACAAGAGTATACAGCATCTAATCAATCTAGGTGGAGTGTATTTTATATGTATTTTATATGAAACATACCAGGTGCAAATTACTGTGTAATATACAGCCCTAGCTGTACTGTTAGATATGTATTTTTCCAGATAGCGGATCTTACCAGTAATCCAGTCGACCGTATTTCCCATCGGTACCTCGGAGCCCATCGTATGTCATGCCCGATGCGAGGAAATGTCTTATCTGATCCGGCATCTCGCATACATATTCCTTTTGAGTTGTATATTTGGTCAAAGGGTCACTGTGGTGGGATTGTCGCCGAATTTTCTTCGGTGCCTTCCCGTATTCGAACCGATGGCCGTATTGCTACCAAAGAGTATGGATATTTTCTTTCGTAAGAGTAATTGAACTCGCAATGTGTCATTGATGGAAAAAGATTTTTTATGTCCAGAAAAAAAAAAAAAAAAAAAAAAAAAAAAAAAAAAAA